ATTCTGAAGCCTGGTATAGGCACTTTGTGGCCTGATGCGGGACCTCTGAGGTCTGTTAGGGTCTATGCGGCCTGAAATTGGCCTTCTGAGGCCTTGTAGGTGCCCTCTGCGGACTGGTCTGGGCCTTCGGAAACCTGTCAGGTCCCCATTAAGTCTATTATGAACCTTCTAAGGCCTAGTAGAGGCCTCAAAGACCTGGCTTGGTCCCTTGAGACCTGATATGGTCCTTCTGAAGCCTGGTTGGGGCCCCTGAGGCCTGGTATGGGCCTTCTGACGTTCGGTAGATCCTCAGTTTGACATAGCCATTGGAGCCTGGTAAAGGCCCTTCCTTGACTGGTAGGGACCCTCAGAGGCTTGATATAGGCCTTTTTATACTACTAGGGGGCTTCTGAGGCCTGGTATATGGACCCTCTTAGACATTCTAAGGACCTTACCAGACCTTTTAATGGCCCACTCAGCACTGTTGTTGGCCCTCTAATGACTGGTATGGACCCTCTCAGGCATGATACGGGCCCTCCCAGTTCTTGCAAGGGCCTTCTCAGTACAGCTGCAGGCCCTTGCATGAGTGGTATGGGCCCTCTCAGGTATGGTACGGGCCCTCCTAGTCATTGCAACAGTCCTCTCAGTACTGTTGGGGCCTTTCCATCAGGGCTGCGGAGTCTATGGATTTTCGGCGACTCCGACTCCGACTCCGACTCCGGCTTTCAAAAACCAGCTCCGACTCCGACTCCGACTCCGGGCAGAATTGTCGACTCCGACCGACTCCAACTCCCGACTCCGACTCCGCAGACCTTGCAGGGCTGCGAGGTCGACAGATTTTCGGTGACTCAGACTCCGACTCCGGCTCGGGTTTCTAAAATCGACTCCGACTCCGACTCCGACTCCGGTCACAACTGTCGACTCCGACCGACTCCGACTCCGACTCCGACTCCGACTCCGACTCCGCAGCCCTGCTTTCCATGATTGCCATTGACTGACATAACCCTCAGTAATATGTCAGGGTACGGGCCCTCACATAACTTGTGATGGCCCCTCAGTACTGTTATGGGCCCTGCTGTGGGCCCTCTCAGTACTGATATGGGCCCTGTCACGGCTGGTATGGGCCCTCTCAGACATTTACAGGCTCTCGCGCTCCTTCCAAAGGCCATCTCAGCACCGCTGCGGGCCCTGTCATGACTGGTATGGGCCCTCTCCTTCTCAGGCATAATATGGTACCTCCCAGACCTTGCCTGGGCCCTTTCATATATTGAATGGGCCCTCTCAGACGTGGCATGGGCCCTCTTTGGCCCGGGCCTTTTCTACAGCCTGGGAAGATAGGACATGGCCACAATCACCCAAGATACAAAATAAATGATTTTCTTTCATCTTTTTTGTTGCTAAATTGGGCCCTTTTCCAAAAACATGGGCCAAAGCCCATAAAGTTCTATCTTGGCGGCGGCACCTTGAGAAGCCCCCTTTCGGCTTGATTCCCCACTCCTGAAGTCATTTCTACAGCTCTGCCCAGAAGTCTCCTTTCTGCACGGCCAGAGAGTATTCCGTCCATACCTGACCTGCTGGCTGAAAGAGGGCCCCAGTGTTCAGAGTTGGGGGGTGGCGGTTGCCCCTCCTGCCCCCCCCCCCCCCCTGTGGCGCCGTCCCTGATCGTGGCTCTCCGACAATAGGTATTTGCCAAAGGCGTTTGCTAAAAATCCACACTCAATCGTTGACCTAGCCTCAGAGTTAATGGTGATATGTTTCATGTTAATTAGCATACCAACTTAACCTTGGTTGTCATTCACTGCATTTATACTTATAATTAATTTAAAGCGACGTATTTGCCTCAGTTAAACACATCGAGTGATATGCTATGCGTGACATTGATCCGAATATAGGTGGCAGCATACAAATTGCGATATTTACATTGTGTTCCTCCCTTCACTCTAAACGCGTAGCCACCAATCAGCTATACAGCAGCGCGACGTCTGGGTACGTCTGATAACTGAGTCTCTGCAGTCTCTACCAGTTGTCTGATAACATCACCTGATAAATAGGGGCACCGTGCGCACTTTAAACAGCAGCTCCGCATTGAGATGTTTCGCAGCTCGTCGTGATGCAATGTAGTCGTGTCAAATGGATACTAGGAGAATCCATCAAACGTCTGCTCTCTTTGTATCCCAAATCGTTCCACCACGTACCTACTTATGCAGCAATAGTGCGGATGGCAGATGCTAGCTAGAGAGCTATTGGCAATATGCCCAATACGGCGGCCTTGCCTCTGGCCTTGCCCCTGGCAGGCCGCCGTATTGGGCCCATTTGCGTTTGGCCATTATACGGCTGCAGCCAGCTGATAAGGGGACTGTTCTGCTACCCGCCCGCCGGCCCAGAGCCCGCCGTGTGGCAGCCGAGTGGTTGATTCGGCAAGAAATGTGCTCCTGACTTTAAGAATAGTAAGCGTTATAGGGATACAGCGGCTCCATGTGATGATACTCAAGCGTATAAAAAATCGTCAGCAATTTGCAGGATGCCATTTCTAAGCATAATTTATGAACTTTCGAGGCCATTTAGAACGATTAAAAATAGACATTCTTAACAAAATAGCATGCAAGTTATAAGAAGCCATGAGATCGTACAGAATGATTATTATGCCTAGTTTTAACCAATGTAAATAACCTAATGTGTTCGCTTATCTGAGATAAACTTTAACCCGCGCCCCACTGGGGGGGGCTATTTATAGCCCCCCCTCCCGTTTTTCTCCAATAACTTCCAAACCGCTTGACGTATCGACGCCAAACTTTCAGTACCTTCGGCTGCATCAATTTGACACCTTGTGTCAAAATTTGAACTTCGTAGCTACCATAGGTCGGCCGGAAATGACGTCAGAGTGACGTCATGTTCGGCCGATTTCGACGCAAAACATTGAACCACGGCAATCGCTCCCAAGGGCTCAGTTTTTAAGCTAGATCCAATTTCTTTGCATGAGAGGACTCAGAATAGACTGCGCTATCAAACTGCTATCTCGGATTTTCGAAATTTTGAAAATTTTGAAAATTCCATATAATAAAATTCAAAATTTACATTTTTACATTTTTTTTCAAAAAGTTTTTGACTTTTCGAAAAAACCGGAATATATGTGATAGAACGCTTTATTATGACTAACTCTAGCAAGTTTTAGCTGAATATCTTCAAAAATGGCCAAGTTATACGCATTATTGCAAAAAATTCACAATTATTAATTTTTTCAAATCAATTTTTCACCACGTATTTGACATCGTACGCCAATATAAATAGCACCATCGTGTTCCTGAGCTCAAACTGCATCCAATAGATACCTTTTCTGTTGACAAATTATAACTTCAAAATTTGACCTTTTTTGACCTGAAAGTGACCTGACCTAAGCTAAATTCGACTCAAAATGACCTCGAATGACACAGACGACATCAAATTCGAAATCTTTGGCCTAAATGGACCATAAAACATGTGTCACGTGACCGACGCATGATATAATATTTTCGTGACCTGTGATGACCTGACCTTGACCTGAAAATCAAAGTACAAGTTTGGTACCCTCAGGGTATCTAGAGCATCTGTTCACGAGTGTGTGAACCAAAAATGAGCCTGATCTGACTTGTAAGACGGCGGCCAGAGCCCAAAACGTGAACAAGCCAAAATGCTAATAATTTTTACTTTGACCTGACCTGTGACGTCATCGGTGACCTCGAGGTCAATGAAATTAGGTTTCGCTTGACAGTTTTTCCGGGGCTATCAGACGCCGTTTGAATTTTGACGATCGGCCCAGTAGTTTCGGAGTTAGGAGGGGGGGCTATGAATAGCCCCCCCCAGTAGGGCGTGTTATACGCAGACCCCAGTGGGGCGCGGGTTAAATAAGCTAGATGTTGTTGCAATAGTAAATGAAACATATATTTTATATCTCCTAAGAAAACGGTTCATAAGACATGAGTCACACACTGATAAAATATTCCCAAACCTAAGATTTCACCTGACCTGATATGTGACCTTTTAAAAGGCATCGAATGTAGTTAAACCATTTCTATATTTTCTGTGGTTATTTTCCCTTAGCCCTCTTGAGTTTTAAAAAACAGGCTGCATAAAGGCCAATTCCCTTTAACCAAAGGACGGAAGCAAGCTAACCCAGCCTATGACATTTCAATAACCCACATGTTTCCATCAGTAGCGGCGGAACACCTTCAATTAGGGGGGGGGGGGGCACTGCCGACTTTTGGTCCCATTCTTTCCATGCAACGCCCATAGGGCTAATGTTTAAATGCCAAAATCAAAGGGGGGCACGGTGCCCCGGTGCCCTCCCCGTTCCGCCGCCTTTAAAATGTTTCCATATCCGTGGCGACCAGGTACCTACCAGGTGCCGTCAGGGTCGGGCTGGAGGGCGGCAGGGTCGGGATGGAGGGCGGCAGTGACGTGGGTCGTCCCCACAGCAGTGACCACACCACCCGCTGACGTCCCGACCGTGCAGGCAGACCATATGGGGATGCCGCTCTGCACGCCCAGCTGACCTTGGGTTACATGGCCGACTGCCAATGCGGCCAGCAGCAGTCGATCGGTACGAGCAAAACACGATACTGTTTGACAACATATACGAGTACAACATACATCTTTCAATCATAGGTATACGTACAGAGACTGACAATAAGACACGGACAGAAGACGGTAAAAAATATAAATACAGATAGACAATACAGCGCTGATCAATGAAGCATCAAGTATAAAAGTCAAATTTTGCTGTTAATTAACGCCGTTTTCTAATTAAAAAAGTGTGTTCTTAATGAAAATAATTGGGCCTGAATTGCGTAAGTTCTCGTAAATATTCAATATTTATTTATGAGAAAGGACGGAAGCAACCGCTTGTCTCCAGCAACTTCTCGGCGGTTTTCTAGCCGCTTCCATCGTTTGTTGCGTTTACGTTACAGACAATGAACCGGCTCTTCCGGTGACCCAAGTTGGCCGATCCAGGAGTCCCCCCCCCCCCCATAGGCGATCGAGCTCACATGGTTCCGTTGGGCGACTGGAGAGGCTGATGGGACGACGCTGTCGCCGATGATCGTGGTTCGACGCCGCCAACGGCGACCCGCGACCCCAGGTCAGTCGCGGCTTGACCTTCTGACCCGACCCGAGGCTGAAAAGGTAGAAAACGAGTGCTACCGATGGTGCCTGACACGGTGACAAGCGCTGGTCATACGGTGGCGCTTGTTTACGACATGATGGGAGGCATATAATTACGATAATTCGAGTATGACCCACATACCTTGGAGGCATAACAAGGAAGCGGCAGTTGCCAATTAGCGAACGGAAAGGGTAGCCACCGGTAGCCTTAACAATAATGTGAGCATATATAATATTTGCTCAATACATGAAATTACTATTAGCCCGTATGGGTGCAACCAATCACATGTGCTTCATTTGTCTATTAGTGACTGATACGTATTGTGCTCTGTCGTATACGTATATTGTACTCTGATACGTATATCACATACGTATTGATATGTAACTAAAGCTCTGCCGTCTGCACTGCACAGCAGCACGCATACCGTCTAGCTCTAATTCAATGCAACAATCAACGTGCTTTCATTGAGCGTCACATAGGTACCTAACGGACATAACAAATGAATATACATAGGATGGAAATTAACGCAGGCGACTGCTTGGTGGTGGCAGATAATAATTATTTCATCTAATCAACAGCCCATAACAATGGTGATCGATAAATAACGCAATTTACAATACAGAAGTGCTAATTAGTTTGCTATTTCCCCCGTAGATGGCAGCACGGACGGCGCCTGAAAATAGACTGTACCGCATAGCATTAAGAATAGACTAACGCGCGGCATTGTGGGTACGAGACTGAGTGATGACAACTGAGATGTAGCAGAGCTAAGACACTGGTTGTATGTCGCGGCTGAGAATAACGGGCTGCCTACTCACGCATTCTACCGTCCGTACTTCCCACCTTCGACCGTTCCTGCGCCGACTCCGTTCGCTGGAATTCGCTAATGTATCACCGTTCCGTGCTTCTATCCTCAGGATACTGAAATCCTTCTCCTCCACGCCGCAACCCCCTTCCGGGCTGGACAGGCAACTTTATCTCATGCGGGCTGCTCCCTTGGAGCGCCACCGCTGCTCCCGAGGGAGCGCACCCCGTAGCCGGGTGCAGTGAGTGCCTTGGGGTTGGGTGGCCTGTCCTCTGGACGGGCTCAGCCCCGGCGACTCACTAGGGTGCCTGCCCAGACCAATGTCTCCCCCATGTCCTATCATCCTCCCGGCTCTGAAATGGTCTCATTGGACCGAAAGGGCCTAACCCAACAAAACAAACAAACAAACAAACAAACAAGCTAATGTATCGACCTTCTTGAGCAGCCCTGACACGCACACACTGCCAGAGCGGGACTGCGCAGTGGCTGACACACACCTGGTAGCTAAACACGTCACGTAGCACACCTGGGAGTGCTGATCACCTCACGTGACACACCTGCGTGATGTCGACACCGTCACGGCCGCAGCGACACGGCGTCACACGGCGTCACAGCCCGAAAAGACGTCCACCGGGCACCGCCTGTCTGTATCGACTGACGACTCCGCCGGCACCGCCTCCGCCGTCCACGTGCATGCACGAATACAGGTCAAGTACCGGGCGGGTCGATTCGCAGATGTCCGTCGGCGACTCGACTTTGCGCCAGGCGCCGCCTAGCGGAGGCGACGAATCGACATGGCCGACTTCATGCCAAGCGCGCCGCCGCCGGCGTGCGCGTGAGAGGAGAGAGGGTGAGAGCTGCGGGGTGAGAGGGTTGGAGCGACCAGCTGTGTGCTGCGCGCAAATGCCCTCTCATGGGTACAGTGGATCTAGTAAGGATCTCCAGACGCAACTAGATGGCGTTGAGCCTCAGTCGAGTCCATGTGAGATTCAAGGAGAGGTCACTACCGAGCTGGGCCCGATGGGGAGGTGGGCGGGGGGGGGGGGTGGCGAGGTCACGGTGCGGGTGACCTGTCAAACAGCCCCGGCGCGGTGGGGCACTGCCACAGGCAAATGGCGCACTCCAGCGTTGTTCCATATCGCGGTGGTGGGCCGGGCGGCCGGCTAACTTAGCAGTTGGCTGCCTGGAAGGAAAGGATAATGAGGCATGGGTTTGCTGTGGCCGGCTCATCTACTGTCAACCATGGTGAACCCAGAGTAATGCAAATGTGATGTTGGTAATGCAGCTGGCAATGGAATGCTAGCGAATGCTCCGGGCGCCCAGTAGCTATAAGGATTAAGATTATTTATGTCTCCTGAAATTTTCATTGAATATAATTCAAGCAATAGAAACATCGCATCGTTCGCCAGTTTTTTGACCGGCTGGCGTTTCATGTGTAGAGCGCCCTTTGGCAAATAATTATCACGCAAGTGATTTTTTTTGCTGGTAAGATGGGCCTTTAAGGTCAAATCAAGTCGCTAAGAGACAGGGGCGCGGTAACTACGTTCAGACTCGGGGGGGGGGGGGGAAGGGCACACCATAATAGAGATCAACCTAGGGTATCCCCAAATCTAGGTTTCTCACCGGTTTTAGGCCACTTATTTTTCATCCCTTGGCTTTTTCAACAAAAAAGAAAACATTTGCAAAAAAAGTGTGGTATTCCGTCTCAAAGCTGTGGGGGCATCGCCCCCACGGCCCCAGAGTTGGGGGCAAGCTGCCCCCTTTGCCCCCCCCCCCCCGGCTTCCGCGCCTATGCTAAGAGAAGATGAGGAAAAGCGGACGAATACCACATTTTTGTGCATGAAGTCTAGAGTAAAAAAGCTAAAAGTTAATACAGTTAACTTTAGTTATTTTACGTGTAAGCTAAAAAACAATAAAATCAGTTAATAAAAATATTTGACCCGCAATTAGCCTCTGTTTTGTTTGACCATGATAACGTGTAAGACACCGGTCCAACCGGGTTCAACCCGGCCCAACCTGGTTCGGCTCCCCCTTTTTTAATATAAATTTGGCCCGAACCTTTTGAAAGAAAGGAAGCTCAAGGACAAAGTCCCCGCTAAGCTGAGCTTGTTGCGTTGACCCTGCTCTCTACCCTCCGATCAAGCCATTCCTGGTCTATGGCAGAATTTAGAGTCCAAATTTTAACGTGCGCACATAGCCGCGCACGGCCGGGCCCCGCACTGACTTCGCCTGGCAGGGGCCTGCCACCAACCACAATCATAACCGTCAGGAGCCGCTCAAAAACGTCAAGCACACGTCGCGTTTCGAACCCGGACTTTTGCAACCGGGACGTGCGCTCTCACCTCATGGCACATGGAGTCCAACGCTCTACCGGCCGAGCTACCGGGACGGAAGCTTACCTTGGGGTTTCGCCTCGTGACATTGACAGCCGTCAGACACTTTGGCCCCTATATACGGCCTTGCTTTTTTGGCCGAGCTTTAGCCGAAACACTGAGCAAGCTGCTCAGGGCGGTAGGTGCTCGTAGCGTTGAGGCTGCTGAATGCGGTGTGAGTTGAATGCGATGTCGTGAGTTCGAGCCCCACTCCCGGGTCTGGTTTTATCTAGACACGAACCAAAACCTTTCCTCCTACTGCAACACAGATCAGCACGATGGCATCTTTCCCCAATATCTTTCCCCAATATCCTCTCCAAAAGTCAAAATTATCGCTTATAAATGTTTAGCTAAGTTTCATCTTTAAGAAAATGTTTTTGGTCATTTATCTGGAGCCATTTCAACTCTTTTTTCTTTTCTGCTTCTTTTCGACCCGATAAAACCCACCAAAACTGAACGTGCCAAATGAAAAATATTTAACTCAAATAACAGTTTAGAAAAGCCTCATCATGCATCATGAAAAGCATCATGCAACTATCGACTGAATAGTTGCATGCTATGAATACGTCCTAGATTTCAATGATCACTGAAAAGCATCATGCAACTATCGACTGAATAGTTGCATGCTATGAATACGTCCTAGATTTCAATGATCATTGTTCAACATTTTAGTTGGAACTGACGCTGCCTCTGGCTTGCCCGTTTGTTTGAGATAATGATTCCCTTCAGTCGCATTCTTGCCGGTTCCACATGAACAGGATACCACCATACCGGAGTGAACGCACCCGCAACCATCATCCCCTCCCCTCAGCTTCGGCGCAGTGGCGGGCGGCCCTGGACGGCCCACTCCCGGCGCTACGCACGCCCCATGCGCCGTGATACCGCGTCACTCCCCCTCCCTCCTTCCCCACAATGACCGGTGACCTCACTTCCCTTTGGATTTGGACTCGCCCTACCCCGACCGTAGCGCCACGTGGTGGCTCTGGAGATCTTAAATAGACCCACTGTACATACTCTGACTGACAATTACATCGGCCGACGTCGGAGCCCGTGGGCAGACAGCATGAGCTGACTACATGACTGGGGCGGTGCTTTGGTGACCGGTCCGACTCTGCATACCGGCGCAAGACGGCCGAACGGTGACGGCTGCGTTTGTCAGAAGTCGGTCGGCGGCGCTACCCAGTCTGACCCGCTGTGGTGAATGGTGCCGTGCAAATGGCTCGCTGTGGAAGGCCAGGCGCCCTCCGGCTCGCGAAATGACTGACGCTAATACAGCAGCTGGCTGAGACACGCACGCTGTAGAGCAATGCCACACACGTTGCAAGCGATCGGAGGTCAGTCCAAGCCGTGCGTTTCGTACATTCAACATTAGAAGCGAGATACCCAAGACCGTAGTGACCGTCGGTCGTGGGTCGATTCCTTTAGCCGACTACCATCTGCTCTGTTGTGCAGTCATTGCCCAATGCCCCGGAACGTCCAGTACCCCAGAAGTCAGAACGCCCACTGTCCCGGAATGTTTAATGTCTCGGAACACCCGGTAGACGGATGTGGCCGGAGCAGTGGCCACAGAACGACAGCGACCTGGCCCAGATTGGGTCAGTCGGCTCGTATTGCTTGAGAACGGTAGCGCAAGCCGACCGGTCCACACCATACCACCTCGCACGATAGCAATGGCAATGAGTGTCAGGGACAACCGAGCTGGGGACATGTCAGCCGCGACCTGGCTCTCGACTCTCGATGCCGAAGGAGAGCCGCAAAACGGAGGAGCCGCAGCATACCACAGGTATGCTGTGGACGTGACGTGACTGCCCAACTAAATATTTGGAGAGGTAAGG